GGAATCAGTATGTTAGTGTTGAAAAGTTCTTTGTGTGTTATTAAAGAAAGAATAATAAAGTACCAGTGTTTATCTACGTGGCTAATCTGCGCATGTCTGGACCATCTTGGTTTCTTGCTGTTGAAATGTCGAGACAAATAATCATTTCTCGTGAATTTTACAACCTCCGGTTTTTATATCACCAAAACATTTTAATCTGTGAACTTTAGTAACGGTAAACATTGCGATACAAACTATTATATATATATATATAAATAGAAGCCTTTTTTTTATGTATTTTTATAATGCCAATTTTACAGCGTCATCGAATACAACCATATTAATTAACTGGTTAAATTTCAATGACTTCTTAAGGTAAGTCATCCGCATGATTATACCAAATACTCAAAGGGAAGAAAAGTGTATTCTCCCCCCTCCCCTTCCTCTCCAATTTGGAGCCAAAGAAAATCAATAGAGGCATTAACTCGGGAATGAATGTTACCATTGCTTAGCGCGTGCACGTAACCATCACATTAACTTCACGCGCAAACTTCCACGTTTTCTCTTCTTTCGAATTCGTAACAATGACATTGCGTTCCGCCCTATTCTTTCTTCTGCCACCATTACCAAATCATGAACACATTCTTTTGATGAGTTTATGCTAAGAAACCTGGATGTTTCTGGGGAGTTACTCTGTAATGATTTCCTTGGAAAATAAGAGACGAGAATTGGTGGACTGCAGGCGGTTATGACAAGAAAATTCCTCTTCGTAATAGGACGAGTTGATGGCGACATTTAGAAGACTATATTACCAAGCGCTAGCGTATACTAGAACCTTCCATAAAATAATATAAAGTTCTGTTTTGGCTCACACTAAACTGTAAGTTGACAAATGAAAACCAATTATTTCTCACGGATTTATTAACACGGTATCTATACATCAAAGAATACACAGACAGTAGTTAGTATTTGGGAAGATGAGGAAGAATTCAAGTCTATGGTGTCTGTATAAACAGTATAGTTTTGTTCTAAAACTGTGGTTAACACAAGTACAATGTATATATTATCAGATCTTTTTGTCTTTACAGCCTTTATGAAGCCAAAATTACATGAACAAGCCAATACGTCTTCAAGGTGAATTAAAGTTAGCCGTCCAAACAAAGTGGAGAATATACGTTGGTTATATTTAATATCTTGAAAAAAAAAGATCAACTATATATCAAATGAAAGCTGTTTGATAAAAATATGTAATATAACAAAATATAATTCGTATAGGATTTTCTGAAAGTTGTGTTTCAATCATATTCTAGGTTGTTTTTTTTTCTTTCAAACCTGCGAAAATACGTGTATGCAGCAGAAATGCGTTCACACAGTGGAAATACATCTACACAAGAGAAGTACATTCAGATAGCGGAAGTACATCTACACAAGAGAAGTACATTCACACAGTGGAAGTACACCTACACAAGAGAAGTACGTTCACACAGTAGAAGTACATCTACACAAGAGAAGTACATTCAGACAGCGGAAGTACATCTACACAAGAGAAGTACATTCACGCAGTGGAAATACATCTACACAAGAGAAGTACCTTCAGACAGCGGAAATACATCTACACAAGAGAAGTACATTCAGATAGCGGAAGTACATCTACACAAGAGAAGTACATTCAGATAGCGGAAGT